TTCAAATAACCAAGCTGTTCTCTTAACACTACAGACACACTTTCCACAAACCCCCCTAAATGAACGTGTGCCAGATATTGGGTTGACAACCCATTGCCACCCAGTCGATTGTGACTCACAGAAACCCTCGATAGGGGTTCTGAGGCTGTGACTTGATGGGAGCAGATAGTCTCATCCATTCTCTCCTGGAGCAGCTGATGGGTTAGCACCACCAGCCTTGATGTTAGTAGTGCAACATTTACCTGATAGTGCCGAGGGTCCTTTGAATTGATATAGGTAGATCAAATGAAATGAGACTGTCCTTGTGCTCAAGAAGCTTCTGATTTAATATAGGAGACAGTCAAGGAACTGGACTTCGGGTTATGATAGTGATAAGGGCAAGAGGCCAGGGAAACACTAATGAGGGGCACCTGACCCAGGTGGGGGGTGGGGGCACCAGGCAGGACTGGCTTCCTGGGAATGACAACTGATCCAGGCCTATAAGCACTCCCATTCTCTCATCTAATAAATACGATGAGTAAAGAGCAGTACCTACATCATTGGACAGTTGTGGTGATTTGATGATCAGATTCACATAAAGCATTATTCCCATAAAGCCAGGCAGAGACCCTTCTCCACCACTTTCACTTGAAAGGAGCAATTGATCCCACACTAAATCCCAATACCTGTGCCTAGCACCCTCCACACACCCTCTTCACACTGGCACACAGCATTGTTTTTATAATCAGTTTTTATTTTTTAACAATGAGACAGTTTTGAAGTACTGCTTCATACAGTAAGCAGTCTAATTCCTTAATCATCAAAACTTTCTTCTACATTAAGTGAAACAAGCCTGTCTCTGGCATTTCTAGTATAAAAATGTACCAGCTGAACACAAATGATGTTCTAAGTCTTTCGTTTAAAAAAAAAGTGTGCTGGATGAACATTCTGGAGGAGAAAACAACGGGACTGAAAGTTCCGGGGGGACATGGGAGAGGGGGAGGTGGGGGGAAGGGAAGAGGTGTTAACAAACCCAGGGACAAGGGAACAACAAGCGATCCAAATTGGTGGGGAGGTGGGTGTGGGAGACCTGGTAGGGCATGATCAAGGGGAATGTAACAAACAGGAAGTGCTGAAATCCTGAGCATGATAGTGGGACAGGAGGAGAATCAAGGGAAATAGAGGAAAGAGCTGGGAGGCAAAGGGTATTTATAGAGGTCTAGATAAAGACATGTACATATGCAAATACATTTATATGAGGATGGGGAAATAGATCTATGAGCCTACATTTATAGGTTTAGTACTAAGGTAGCAGAAGGACATTGGGCCTCCACTCAAGTACTCCCTCAATGCGAGAATACTTTCTTCTATTAAATTGGCATTCTATGATGCTCACCTTCCGGGGACAACCGCTGAAGACAAAGCAGGTGAATAAGCAAATGTGGTGAAGAAAGCTGATGGTGCCCGGCTATCGAAAGATATAGCATCTGGGGTCTTAAAAGCTTGAAGGTAAACAAGCGGCCATCTAGCTCAGAAGCAACAAAGCCCACATGGAAGAAGCACACCAGCCTATGCAACCACGAGGTGTCAAAGGGATCAAGTATAAGGCATCATCAGAACAAAATCTTACCATAGTGAATGATGGGGGGGAGTGCGGAGTGGAGACCCAAAGACCATGAGTAGGCCACTGGACATCCCCTTGCAGAGGGGTCTCGGGGAGGAGATGAGCCAGTCAGGGTGCGATGTAACAATGATGAGAAATACAATTTTCCTCTAGTTCCTAAATGTTTCCTCCCCACTCCCACTACCATGACTTGAATTCGACCTTACAAGTCTGGCTAGACCAGAGGATGTACACTGGTACAGATAGGAACTGAAAATCCAGGGAATCCAGGGCGGATGAGCCCTACAGGACCAGTGGTGTGAGTGGCGAAACAGGGAGGGTAAAGGGAGAGTGGGTAGGAAAGAGGGAACCGATTACAAGGAACTGTATGTGGCCTCCTCCATGGGGGCCGGACAGCCGAGGGGTGGGTGAGGGGAGACATCGGACAGGGCAATATATGACAAAATACCGATTTATAAACTATCAAGGGCTCATGCGGGAGGGGGGAGCGGGGAGGGAGGGGAAAAATGAGGACCTAATGTCGGGGGTTTAAGTGGAGAGAAAATGTTTTGAGAATGATGTACAAATGCGCTTTGCACAATTGATGTGTGTATGGATTGCGATAACAGTTGTATGAGCCCCTAATAAAATGTTTTTTAAAAAAAAGTATGAAAGAAACTAACAATAACTGTGTTTTTAATATGGTTCTACTATCCATGTGAGGTGTGGCGTAGTGGTTACATGTTGGGCTGTTAACTGTAAGATCAGCAGTTCTAACCCACAAGCTGGTTCTCAGAAGATAAGATAAGATTAGGTTGCCCAAGCCTAATAAAGAGTTACAGTCTTGGAAACCCATAGGGGCAATCGTACCTTGTCTTATAGGGTTGCTATGAGTCAATACTGACTTGATGGCAGTGAAATTTTCGATTTGGGGTTTTTTGTTTGTTTTTTGGAGGGTTTGGGGAGTTTTTTTGTTTTGTTTTGTTTCTTGAGTATTCAGATTGGTACTGTGTTTCATCCTATATATAGTCTGCCCACCGTGGAAACAGAAGTTGAAAGAGGAGGTTTCAGCCTAACTTAAATTTACTGCTGTCAAGTCAATGCCAACTAATAGCAACCTTATTGACAATAAAACTCAGATGTGAATCCGGAGTCTGAGCTCATTTCACCACAGCATCAGGGATAATAAGTAAGAGAGACTACAGGCAGACCTAATGCTTTCCTATTCCAGAGGCCCCCAAGTACTCTGCGCTCTCTCCAAGACTGTTATACATAATGTAACCTGTACACTTACAGTTGGTCTCAGCTAGGTAAATACCTGCGGGTAGTGATGATTCTGTCCTGTCCTGTCAGTAGGAACCCAAGTTCTACTTTCTCCAACAACTAAGGCACCTGCTAAGGAGATGTTTTCCTCGCCCATCCGTCCTTTACATTCTTAGCTGCAGTCAGAAGTTGCATAATGCACGGTTAACATAAACCCCAGCTTCTTCTCCTAACTTCACTCTTCATATTCTCTTTCAGCCTCACAAGTCAAGCCAATACACTGCCCAAGGCTGTTTTCATCAGTTTCTACTTTCAAGATCAAGGGGGCTATTCTTTATACTAATTTCATGCTTAACACAAATTTCATGCCTTAGTAAGTCCCTTTACCCAACTGCTTAGATAGTACAGTGCGTTTCACAGTAGGCACTTGGGAAATGTGCGTGTGTCAGCCTGCTACATTCAACTCGAGAGAGGAGCATGATGCCTACAGATGTCACCTTGCTGGATTCATGCTGGTCTGACACTGTCAGGCACGTTTCTGAACTTCTCCTTAACAAGAAGGGTAAGCGTCTCACAAGCATACTTGGGGACTCTCGGGTGGCTTTTGGAAAGTGTTTATAAGTGCTATTGAAAGCCAAGTTCACAACTCTTACTAAAAGCAGTAGCTAAACTTGGAGTGGCTCTTTAATCCCGATGCTTCAAAAACGACGGCTTTTTACCTCCCAAGCCTCTTAAGCTTGGGTTTGAAGTATGTTTCAGACTGCTACCCCACCCCACCCACCCCCGCCCATTTCCACGAAAATAAAGAATTAACAATGGGTTCATCCAACTTGCCCATGTTCATTATCATAAGGAAACTTGGCTAGTTCTGTTTAGCAAATGTCTCAGAGCTGCTTATAGCACATTAGATGCATTCTGAGTGGAGGAAGTCTAAATCACACAGAGGACTGCGAAGCTGGGCAAGAGTCACACTGAACGGGCAGCACCTGAGCATGCAATGCAGCGGTGCAATAATCATGAGATTTCACTTCTAAGGCCCTTCCCCTTTCAAACTTCCCTAGGCACAAGCCTCAAAACGCTGAAATAAACACATTCCACAGGCTTTGTGGTAAGAGGGTTTAGAGTGTCTTATGAAAGCTGTTTCAAGAGAAAGCCTGTGCTGTCAACTTTGTCTTTAAATGCCCTCAAACCGTTCTATTAGTCACAGGGGAAAAGTGAACATTTGCTGGTGATTAGAGATAACTCATCTCATGTTCTGGGGCTGCCAGGAGAGGCCAGAAGGGGAGGACCTGGCTGGGAAGGGAGATAGAGTCCAAAGCAACACACCCAAAATTGGACTGCACAAAAGTTACACTTTCCAAAGTCAATTTCTAAGTCTAGAAGGAAGGCAACAATGCTTCAATGTGGAGATTTGCAGTTTGCCATATACACCACTTCCCGGAAAGTTAACTCCCCACCTGGGGCTCCAGGTGAATGAATGAGTGAAGGAATTTGCCGGATTGGATTACCAAACCGTTCCAAAGACTATCAAGATCAGGTGGTCAGTTACAGACAGCGGAATCTTCCTTGAAGACTCCATACCCTTTGGCCCTCGAGGAGTGGAGACTTTCACAGATAAGGGTGGACTTAGAAGCGGGAAGGGACCTGTTCCTCCAGACCATCCAGGCCTTAAATCACAGAGTGGCCACCCCAAGAACCTCACGCGACTCTGGGGGGATGGGGGGGCAATAGGCCCCACACAGTCAGGCTGCAACCTGCCACCTCTCGAGGACGCCCCAACCCCAAAACCCATTTGGGAAGTTGCTTCCGGAGATTTCCTGCCTGCCACCACCATCACCCCTCGCCACGCCACACACACGTTTTTAGGGGCTCTACGCAAACCAAGAGTAGAAGCCACCTGGTCAACTCGGCCGTTCCCGCCTTCAAGTGAAAAGGGGACACCTGACCACCGGCGCCCTCAGAGCCCCGCGCGCACCCCGTCCCCGCGCCTCCCTGGATCGCCATGGCAACCGCCCCCAACCCTGCGTGACGCCGGCACGCGGGGCGCCCCTCCGGTCCCGATAACAAATGCCCCGCGCTGCCCGCGGCCTGCAGCCCTGGCCCGGCCTCGCCGCCCCGCACCCGGCCCGGCTCCGCCCGGCCCGGCCGCACTCACTTGATCCTGGAGCCCATGATCCCCGGGCCTCCTCATGGGCCCGCGGGCCTCGCTCGCCGCTGCGCTGCCCGCCCTCCCGCGGCCGGTCGGCCTCCCTCTGGTGCTCTCCCCGCCCCTTCCTCCCTTCCCTCCGGCTGGGGCCCGCCCGCTCGAGGCTCGTTCCCCCGCCTGCGCCGCCGCCGCCGCCGCCGCGGCCTCCCGGGGCTAATGTACACGTTCCAGCCGGGCGAAAGCCACGGTCGCCGGCGCGCGTACCCGGCGCGCACCGCCCCCTCCGCCTCTCACACGACCGCCCCCGCCCGCCCGCGCCGCCGCCGCCCGCGGGGTTGACTGGGAAGTGTAGTCCACGGGGGAGGCGGGGCCGCCTGAGAGCCGGGTAGCCGCAAACGTGCATCCGCTCGGCGGTCGTTCGCAGCTCGGAGTGTCCCGTGCCGGCGGGCTCTGGTTTCCCCGGGCGGGCCCCCGAGGATCTTCAGCCCACAGTTGTCGCCTAGAAGTCCCCACACACGGCCTCCCTGAAAAGATCCAAGTTCTATGGAGATCCCAGAGCTCACTCAAGGTCGCAGGGCCTCCTCGTGGAGGCACTCCCTCCCCAACGACCCAGTAGCTTTTGCCCCAGAGAATCTACTTCTCGTGCAGGCCTCAGTGGGGACTCAAGTTTTCCCTTTAAAGTCCTATAATTTCCCAGTCCAGCTCCTTGAGGGAGCCACAAGCCCGCTCCTGTACCACACCACGCCCTTCCCCACACAATGATAGACACCCCTTCTCCCCTCAGGCCTTCAAAGAGACCCATATGCTCAGAGAAAAGCCATTTGGAAGCTCCAGAAGATCCACGTGGGGGCTCAGCTCTTCCCTCCCTGTGAGAACCTGTGCCTCTTATCAGCCCTGGTGGCACACTGGTTAAACACATTAGGTCCAACCTATCCACTGCTTTGCAGGAGGAAGACTAAGCTTTCTCCCAGCCAGGGGCAGTTCCACCCTGTCCTATTAAGGTCACTGTGAGACACCACAACAGCTCTTGATAAAGTTTACTCAATGCAAATAAAGTTATTTCAGGCTACTACTTATCTCTCCCCCCCCCTACTCCCCCCCCACCTACTCCCCCCCCCAACTTGGGTCTCAGGGTCATGAACTCAATTTCATTTCTTCTAGGCCCAAAAAGATCACAAAGGAAGCAATAATGACAGCTACGATTTAATGAATGGAGGAGTGAACCAAGCACTGCAATTTCCATACATCATTCTTGCCAACCCTCACAGTAATCTGCCAAAGTACCCAATATGCAAGGTAAGGCCGGTCTTACTTGTGCTTATTTACTACTAATCTGGAGTGAACAATTTCAGATTTTTCCACCCCATCAAAAGTTCTGCTTCTAGGTCTGGCTGGCATATCTGTCTCTTTCCCAACCCTATAGCAGCATACTACAAAACCAGAGCCTCTTTTTCAAATCTATAATTGCTGACAGGAACAGAGCACCCAATGAGCAAGGTAAGCATGGGTTTACTTGTGTTTACCAATCTAATGTGTAGTCTGCAAATCAAAAGACACTCTAAACTCATATAGGTCACTTTTGAACTAAGACTTTTTTTTTCCTGTTCCAAAATGTTGTCCATTCCTCCTGCTATTTCAGCCCTTATAAATTCATTTAAAAGGAGGCCTGGTAACGTAGTGGGTTAACGTAGTGGGCTAGGCACTGAGCTTTTAACCACTGAGCTGTCAACAGTTCAAACCCACCAACGGCTCCTAGAGAAAAAGATGAGGCTGTCTACCACCTTAAAGATTTAAAGTTTCGGAAATCCACAGGAGCAGTTCTGCCCTGTCGGGTGGAGTCACTATGAGTCAGAATCAACTCAACGACAAGGTTTTTTGGTTTTAAGTTCATGTAATGTCTCACCCCTGCCCCTCCATGTCACACAGTCACTGATGCTAACGCAGGCAATGAGCAAAGAAGGCAAAAAGGTAAGAGTAGAAAAATTCACCACCCTCAAGTCAATGCTGACTCATAGTGACCCCCTGTGGGTTTCCGAAACAATAACTGTCTATGGGAGTAGAAAGCCCAATTAAGGAGGAGCTGCTAGTGGTTTTGAACGGCCAGGCGTGTGGATTGCAGCCCAGTGTACAAGCACTACATCGCCAGCGCTCCATAAGAGTAGCAAAGTTTCTGTCTTTTTGAAGTCTTCTTCAGGGTAAAGATTGTTTTTCTCTTGTGCCTATGGCCTGAGATTTCGGAAGGAAGAAGGTAAAGGTTTTTAGCTTTTGTTTTAATTTTCTTAATTTAAACAAAGTAGAAATGTCCAAACTGCCTTCTTGAATTCAAAATATCTTGCTCCCAGACACCAATGCGGACTTATAAACACCCACACCCACACCCACCACCCCGGAGCAGAGCTCTGCTAGACAGCCAAGGGCTCTGTGGTGTTCGTTCACCTTGTTTCCTATGAACCCTCTCCAAGGCGCAGTTGTTATCAAGATCTTCCCTGGAATGAGCAGTCAGTTCAAAAGCTCTGAGCAGGAGACTATAAATAAAACAAAGTTATTTGGTAAAGGGGAAATCTGGCTGCTTTACAAAGGAGGTCGTAGCCATCCTGGCCACAAAAATGTCTGGGTGCCTGCTGGGTCATGTGGTGTGTGTGTGTGTGTGTGTGTGTGAATTGGGGGTCGGGGGTATGTTTACTCAGGTGGTCTCTGAGATAACAGGGTGGTCCAGGGAGAGACCACTGGACTGGGAGCTAGGAGTCTGTCTTCTAAAGCCTGATTGCAAGAGAGGCTTTATGCAAATAGACATGTGTCTGCTTCTGTTTTCTCCTGCATAGAATGGTTAGAGAAGATGATGAGGAACTTACAGTAAATCATAAGACAGAATGTCATGTAGGGCCTAAGAGTGTGTGACTTTGGACAAATTTCTCAATCTTCAGAAAAGATTGCCCCTTGCCATCCAGTCACTTTTGCCTCATAGCAACCTGATAGGTCAGACATAGTAGAACTGCCCCATAGGGCTTCTAAGGCTGGAAATACTTACAGTAGCAGACTACCACATTTTTCTCCTGGAAACAGCTGGTGAATTCAAATAGACAACCTTCCAGTTAGCAGTCAAGCACTTAACCACTAAGCCACTCAACCACTAAGCCACCCGGGTTCCTTTGCATAAAGACACCCCCTCACCCCACCCCATCCCCTGACCTTAAGTGTACTCCCCAGGACCTGCTCATCCCATTTACATCTTCTCCAGGAGGACTTAGTCTCACAGCCATCTCTCACTGTAAGAGAGGTCAGGAAATCTGGCCAGACAATCTTGTGCAAAACTGAAACTGTGGTGGGGAGCATCCCTTTCGGGGAAGAAAAGTAAGACATTGAGTAGACAGCCGGGAGCCTCAACCATAGGAGTCTGGCTTTGCAACCTTGGGCAAGCCACAGCTGGTCTCAGAACCTCAGTTTCTCCATGTGCAAAGTAAGAGAGTCACCCCAGGTGAACTCTCTCCCAAGTCCTGGTCACTGTTAAATTCTATGATTCTTTGCTTTGTTCTTTTCCAGTGCCTTCTTGCTTTACCATTTCTTTACATTTAGGTGGAATCTGATGTCGTTCAAATATAACAAGACCTGTCTGCCAAGTACATTGCATAACCAATTGTTGGAATTAAAATCTTCCGGTGAGAGGAAGGCTTTAGGAACTTGGCCTTCTCCGATGTTGTCAAAATAGGGCAACTCAGCAGATCCAGTCGATAACAGAGTGACTGTGGAAATACCTCCCGCAGCGACACTTTGAGGCGCCTCAAATTTCAAGCTTGCCCTTACTCTTCTGTACCTGTTGGGTGTTTCTGCTTAGAATGTTGGGGGTGTGACGACTGAGGGGATAAAAGCCACCCTAAGGAGCTTGAAAGCCCCACTGATTATGCAGTATGTTCAAAATCGCACGAATCATCTGTAGGTCTGGATTTGGTGGTCTGTTGTTTTGACTTTTTCTTTGTACACTTAGTGTAGCTCAATTATTTTTTAATTGACACATGTCATAACATTAGCCCCCTTTTCAAGTATGTTTTCTTAAGATATATTCACAGAATTGTGCAACCATCACCACTGTCTAATTCCAGGGCGTTGTCATCACCCCTGAAAGAAATCTCCTACCTGTGAGTATTACTCCCCTGTTCCCCCTCCCCTAGTCCTTATGTTGTTGCTGCTGTTGCTTTTGCTGTTGTCCGGTGCTGTCAGGTTGATTCTGACTCAGTGATCCTAAGTACAATAGAAGGGACCGGGCTATCCTCACAATTGCTACAGTGCTTGAGCCCTTATTTACAGCCTCTGTGTCAGTTCCTCTTGTTGAGGGTCTTCCTCTTTGCTTTCTGTTTCTAAGGATTTGTCGATCCTGGACATTTCGCATAGATGGGATTAAATAGTAGAGTGTTCTCTTGCGTCTGACATCTGCCACTTAGCATAACGTTTCTGAGGTTCTTTCATGCCATAACATGTGTCAGTAGCTTGTTGGTTTTTAATTCTGAATAATGTTCCATTGTATGGATATACCACAATGTATTTCTACACTCCTAGATTGATGAAGAATTGTGTTGTTTTCAGCATTATGAATAATGCTGCTATGAACAGTCATTTACAAGTTTTTTGGGGGGCACATATGTTTGCAATTCTCTTGCGTATTGTGGTTATATCCTGCAGAAAGAATCCACAGCTCATTAATAGTGATGTTGTCACCCTCCCCTCCACATGCCCACAAAACAAAACACAAAGGTATGTGATTTTTAACATTGGGGTGGGGGAACCTACTAAGTTAAATAAGTTTCTTTGCCGTCAAGCATGCTACACCGTGGGTCTCTTAAAAGGGGAAGCAGACAGGATAGACTGGTGGCTAATGGCATGGGCTCTGAAGAGAGGCAGACTGGGGCTTGTCAGCCAGTAAACTTAGAGAAAATTACTTCAATTCTCAGATCCTTGGTTGCCTTACCTTAAATAAGGGGATGATGATGCCTCATGAGGATGAAATGAAATAAAGAATATAAGATTCCTGCTATATAGATGGGAGTAAGTATCAATCTGCTAAATTGTCAGGTT